CCACTTCGAAGGATGATTTTTCAACTGATGACATTTCTCACAAATGTTTGCCGTACGACATATATCTGCATTTATCTCTGATTAGCAATTCACAACATCCTCGTATGGTCAGTCTGTGTCCAGTAATCCCCAGTATTGATACTTCAGCGGGTCGTACAACAACGTTAGGATCTAAAGCTTTCAAGTTCTTGAATGAAATAATGGACTATATACTGCCTGTGTCCACAATAAAGTCATGAAATGAACCAAGCGATGTGTATAGTCGCTTCTGAATATGAGCCTTACCTTTCGAAATAGTAGACGAAGATAAATGATCACTAGAAACATCCGAATTATTGAAATTTAAATTACAAGATTTAGTACAGCTTGAAGCAAAATGGACAGTAGCTTTGCATACTGACTGAATGTGTCCTACCTTACCACATTTAAAACATTTAGCATTACGAAATACACATGAATTGCGAGCATGAAACTTTCCACATGATAAACATTTACCAAACTTCATCTCACCTTTGTGATTTGCTTTGTAATTCCTCGTTGAAACACCTTTCATATTTACACGAGAATAGGAATCACTTTTTTGGTGGAGTTTTGTTCTCTGAACTGGATGGTTTGGTCGTGGAGCACAAACTTCAGAAGTTTGTGCTGATGATGTCGTTCAGAAGAACGATGAAAGCTCCACGACCAAACCATCCAGTTCAGAGAACAAAACTCCACCAAAATCATGTACCTGAGCTACAAATCTTCTCCACCATCTCAATAGGAATCACTGTTAAATGAACGCAAGTTTGATTGACCCTGAGATTGTAGTTCATCACGACGACTAAGCAAAGTATTAGAAATCTTCATCGACTGGATATCAAGTTCATTGACTGCTTCGTAGTTAATACATGTAGTTCTAGCATCTTGAAAGGAACAGTTTGGTATTTTTAACAGCTCTCTTTCCAAACCCGGTATGTTAATTCCTGCAATTAATCGATCTCTCAGTTGCACATGAAGTTGATCACCGAAATTACACTTGGCAGCTTGTTTCTGTAATTCAAGGATGAATTCCCGAACCTTTTGGTCATTTTGACGAACCATCTTATGAAACTTCGCCCTTTCACGGCATTCAAAACTGGTGCATTTTACATGACTTAACAATAGCTCTTTAAGAGTTGCATAAGGCAGTGAGATAGGTTTTTCTGGATATGCCAAAGTTTTTAATAAGCTGTACACTTCTCTCCCAATGAATGTCAGAAAATGTGCCACAATTTTCTCACCTTTAACATCTTGCTTGGTTATGCTCCAGACTTTGAACCTTTCCAAGTAATCCTCAAAAGTTTCAGGAGTTGAATGAATATCTAACTTTTCCATTGCAGGCTCCATCGCGACGCCAATATGATATTCTAATTATCGTATGAGCTAGGAATTCCAGGATTAACGCAATTCAATTAAGAAGACACAGGCACAAACGAATGTATTGTATTTAGAATTCGAAATCAAGCATTCAACAAGTACAAAGGTATCATTAGTTCATTCAAACACCACAGAAACACGTACCCACTAATGCATCGATGTCTTCCTTTTGAACCAGCTGTGCCTGTTGAATGTCTCATAATTTACCTAATATTATCGTTATTACTTATCAGTAACCAATTTACATTTCTCGTATCAACGTCTCCGTTTTTATTCTAATTCGTACCCCCTTGACTTCTTACACTGTTTCGACGACCGACCAATTAACGTGTATATTTATTTATTGCAACAATCTTCTCTTAGAACCTGAATATTCACTTGACTACTTTACATAGTTCAAGCAACCAGCCAACCTCCTTACTGGTAGTGTAGTAACTGATTGTACCCAGAAACCTTGCCGCTCTAAGACAAACTCACTCAAACTATAAGATGAAAAACCCACAAATATTTACTACAAACCTGAATAGAACTAGCGCAACTGAGTGACTAGACTACTACTTATCAGACATTACCGAATGCCTGGAGTCGTGCTGAAGCAATAAGAAGCGAACGCAAATAAAGCAGTCGATTTATGGAGGCTCGTGACATGATAGCAGTTATTGTACAATGAACCAGCGCTTGGTTACATAAAAGCTGCGAAGTTTCGAAATTCTACAATTTTCACTATTTCACCATTTGGTAAAATGTTTTTCAAGAGTGTAAGAAACATATTGCGCCGAGTATCACACAATTATTCACCTTAATAAAAAGTCTGGTTTCCATCTTGTTCAGCGACAAACAACCAATGAAGAGGATATGAAGGCGAACAAAGGCGAAATAAAGAAGAAGATTCATTGAAAAATGAAGAGAAAATGGTGGAACAACGCGCCAAAATGTTTGCTTTTTCACCTTATTTGGAAAAATTGACATTTTCCCTAAATAACTGACGTGAAGGCGAAAAAATGACATTTTCCTCTTATTTTCCCTTTGTTCGCCTTTATCTCCACCTTATTGGTTGCTTATGGTATTGCTGCGTATTTATACACAAAATATTTACTTTTTTAATCTCCCCATTTTGGAGAAATTTTTGTCTGTTTTGGGGAAATAGAACAAAAACCCGATTAAGTTAGATGGGCTCGAGAGTGGGGCTTAGAAATCAATGCTAGGAAGAGTGTGCTAATGCACGTCGGTCACGGTAATAGTTACCGTTACACTATTGAGGGTAAACCTCTTCCATGCGTTCAAGAGCATAAGGACTTAGGAGTAATATTAAGTTGTAGTCGAATTGGGATTACCAATTGTATTCGTATTGGGATTACCAATTGTAGCGTGGCGTCGAGTTGAGGTTAACTATGAACACCGCTACCAAGAAGCACGTGCCAGATAAATCAGAAGGCGTAAGAAGCTCGTTCCAAATGACTCCATAAAATCCCCGAGAAGCCAAATATCAGAAGACAGTTAATGGACCAAGTCGATGTTTATTTGCTGGCGATCTCGTGGCATCGAAAGGATACCGAGATCGTGCCAGGATACAAGCTTGGTTACAGAACGTAACCGAATTCGCGCGAAGTTATAATCAAAGTGTAAGTATAAGAATGGAAGCACAAAATAGCTGTCATTAGCACAGTCAAACAAAAGCACGTTAAAACAGTCACTGGTACACTTGGTTATAATAATAATTGTTTTTATTAAACCAGTCGTGTTCTCGTGATAAATGTGAGTCACTACAAAGTCATGACTTAAAAACAACTGCGCATTGCAAAGCAGCCGCTGTCAAAGGTTTTCGTGCGTTATGGTCACTTCCCCGAGCGTTCAAATCTTTTGACGAGGAAACTTTTCGAATTTTATATCCCATATATGTTAGACCACATTTAGAGTACTGTATCCAAGCAGCTAGCCCGTGTCTAGTAAAGGATACTAACTCCCTTGAGCGTGTCCAGCGTGTGGGAACGAAATTAGTGAAGGGTCTTTCTAGACTCCCTTACGATGAGCGCTTAAAACGCCTAAATCTTTTCCCCTTGTCGTATCGTAGGACATGAGGTGACCTTATACTGGCATTTTGTATCTTTAATTATGATTTGGGTGTTAATATGTCTTATCTTTTTGCTCCCTCCAGAACTAATAATCTCCGAGGTCATAGCAAGAAGGTTCATAAACCACGATCTAATAAACTTAAAGTGGGATCCCGTTTTTCTCATCGAGTAGTCAATGATTGGAACGCCTTACCCGAACAAGTGGTATCAGCCCCATCAGTGAATACTTTCAAGGAAAAGCTGGATCTTCACTGGAAAGCAATGTGTCAGGATTAACACAGGTTCATCAACCTACTATCCTTTTTACTGAAGACTGAAGAATCTTATAACACTTTTAGGAAATCTGTCCACATTTATTGAATTTTGAAATAATCATTTATGCAACTATATATAACTCAAAAGACTTTTGGAAGTAAACCTGAGTACTAATCTGGTGTGCCAGAAATGGTTGCATCGTATCAAAGACATTTCTACCGGTCCTGACCATTCTGGTAAACTGAGAAAAGTGGATTCAGTCTTAGCTTAGACTATTGTTCTCACATTCGTTAAGTACAGGTACGGTACCGAACAATTGGAGGCTGGCTTGCATTACACTAAGCTTCATAGGAATCGGACGCAGCGAATTTTTAAGTTGTCGACCGGTAACACCACCCAATGCCCTCAAAACTCATGGAGTCCCTGATATACGATGGTATACGTGAATACTTTTTATCAATAAACTTCTTTTCACCCCCGGCAATATGGTCACTTTTGTATAACCAAACTGTCGATCGCGGTGGACAGATGGACAACCACCCTTGATCATGAGGGGAGGGCTGACGTCATATACCCTGACCTCTGAAAAGCTTTGGATAGTGTTAATCGTGTATGCCTTATCAATAAGCACGAACAATTAAACATCAAGTCACCGTTTATTGATTGTCTGACTTCATGTCCAAATAATTAACGTTTTAGGGCCAGGACAAACTTCGCTTTTCCTCAGGCTACAGAATGTCATAGTGGGATCCTTCAGGGTTCAGTACCAGGACCTCTTCTTTTCTTGGTTTGTATAAACGGTCTTCCACAACAAGTACCGTTTGACTTATTACTTTTCGATGACGATGTGAAACTTTGGAGAGAGAGATACGCAAACAAGAGGACATACTGGCATTTCAAGTGGATCTGAGTGGACTTCGATGTTGTGAGGATAACAATGGACTTACCTTCAACACATCAAAGTGTAAATTAGTCTATCTGAGATATGTTGCAGATTGCTCATACAACTTAGGTGACTCCGCTCTAGAGGTATCTCGAGTTGAAGGTAATTTGATAGTTTTGTACCTTATGATCTGAAGTCTTATGTCAACTGCAACAAAAATATCTCTCAAGCAAACAGAGATCTGGTAACGTTGAAGCGCACTGGGAAACAGTTTGACGATAGAACTCTCCACTCGATCCTCAACAACTTTATTCGACTCTATGTAGAGTGTGGAATAATAGTGTTTCTTTACTCATTCCAAAAGGATAGCAATACACTGGAACGTATCCAAAGGAGAGAGTATCTCGCCTATTCTCAGTTCTCAGTTCAAACCTTACGGAGAGCTTCTCAAGTCATTGAATCTTTACTCATAAGAGTATGGACGCCTAAGAGGTGACCTTTTGGTGCGTTTTAACATACGGAGCACCCTCTCAAATATTTTCTTTGGCTCAGTCTTGACACAAGCTTTAAAAGTAGTACCTAAAAGTTATAATCACGACATGACGAAACGAACTGTCGGCACATCTACCCTCTAAGGGTGGTAAAATCCTGGAATTCACTGTCGTTTAAAGTAGTCCAAGCAACTTCCCAGGAGTCTTTTAAGAACAAGCTTTACATATTCTTAAGGACTTAATACAGTATCTCAGTACGAGTTACTTATATTATTCTTTTTATCATTAATTATACCTATGTTCCTACATGGAAGCATCAAAGATTCACTGTTACTAGATATGGAAATCCGTTAAGCAAGGGCTTGTTCTATTTCATCCATTACCATCTGAACCACTCTCTCAACTCATATTTTTATTAAACGTAGAGTTATGACATATTTATTGATTGCCACTATCCATTGTTGATGCTCTTCATAAATTACAAATCGAATGTAATTTGTGTCACGCGTTTCTGTCATCTTATAAAACTATATACTCTATGTGACACTCCACGTATTTTGTTTAGCCTTGAGAATTCCCAGAAAACTAAGTAGATTAGTTGTTTAAAGTCAGAATTATAAGAATTTGAGAGTAATTGAACAGTAATAGACTGAATTAACTGAAAGTATTTTAGTCCGTCACCAGTGAAATTATGAGTAATACCTAGCTTTCTTATGAGAGTATTTGCTAATAGATTTAACATGGGATCTCTCAGTCTGAGGGGAAGGAATCAAAGGCGTATGTTAAATATTTTGGCATGCGGTTTTGTTTACCTAGTTTGTTTTTGAGTTAATCAGTCAGATGGTCTGATAGTTTCTTTTAGTAGTATGTCCCAGGAGTTGGTTACTCTTTAGACTAATCTATGATCGTGTAGAATGTGGTATGTCCTGAGCTTTTGAACTTTTTTCTACCGGTTCTTGGTTTCTTTAATTTAAATAGTCTACGAAAAGAGAATGACCTCCATGCCTATTACGAGATAGTTTTGTTACAAACAGGTAAATCCTATCACCTTATTCTAACAGCTTAAACCTTTTCCTATGGGCCCGTTTATTACTAATGCTTGATGATTCTACTCAGATATAATTTCGCCTAAACCTTAGAAGTAACCCATTACGGCATATGTTGGCATTTATTGGGTGAATACTCACTATTTTTACGTTTTATGACTACATTTTAAACATTTATGAATACTGGACATAAACCATGGATGTAGATCTGAATGTTTTGTGTGCAGAAGACACCACAAAAAACTGTGATAGATTGCCTGAAAAACGTATGCCGTTTATACAGGTAAAAACGTATAGATCGTGAGCTTTAAATTCATTCATCAGATGCTATGTAACTTATTAAGTTCAGTACCTGACGCTTATCACGTCTATTTTGAGCTGTACGTTATGTTATCAAAACCTATTACACCTAAAAGAAGAACAAATAAAGAACCAAAGTCAGTTCCGGTAGCCAAATAAGCATCATATGAACCACTGACACTACTGTCGTGACTCGATAGCTTTTGATTGTTATTCATACGTGAGACTAAAGTCTCTTAAGTCTGTACATATGTGATATTGTATATTGTCGTTTAGACATCTAATAAAAACTTCACTAAAGACACATGTACAAAACACTTAATGAATTTGCTCACATATAACTGTTTTGTAATGCCTTTTGTGTACAACAAAAAGTTTTGAGAGGTTTCTAGTATTAATATCTTTGGTTGTAATACACCTTAGCACTGACAGGAGCCAACTAGTATTATCTATGTAAGTAGAAACAAACTCTAAATAAATTTCATACTATAAGACATTATGAGACATAAAACCATTATAACATGTAGGTTCCTAGGAGCTGTCTTTCACTTTTTAAAATTATGTGGTTGTTAAAACGAGGGTTTTTCATAGTCAATAATTTTAGGACGTTTTTGCTTAGTATACACACGGTTAATTTAAAATCATCATACTTTCAACTAATTTAGCGTAATGTTTAGGTCTTTGAGATAAGATCATATTTATTTACGTTGTTTATTGCCGGGAAGATGGTGAATAACTTGATGTAGCTGACAAATGTTCTAGTGGCCACATTAAAATAATTTGACTTATTAAGTTAAACTTCCTCATTTCGAATAATTAGGCCTTATCTCCAACGTTTAAGTTTCTAGTAAGCAACTATGTCGTTTGAAATTTGTCATGGATACCTAAATAGATTTATGGTTTAGCAAGTAACATTTCCTTAGTTTCGAATGAATGACTGACAACTGATACAAGTAGTTCGGAGCTAATATTTACTACCTTAACGATAAACCGGACAAGTTTCAAAGTCTCTAAATCTCCCGTCATAAAATCAGAAGCTAGATGAATGATGACAGTTACATCCATTATTTAGGTTCGTCATATACGTTATTACACGAGTGAACTATAGCCCATCTCAATTTATAAATCTTAGCAGGCGTATAACTCAAGCAGTTTTTAGTAAAAAGCCTAGTATCAAACTAACAGTTAACCAATTGTGATTGATAGATACTGAAATATGCAGCTACAATGACTGAACGAACAAATAACTCGCATCTGGGAATATGTAAAAGACATTACAAATCAGCTTTTTATTTAACATATTAAAAAAAACATACGAAATAATTCATCACTGAGGACCTACCTAATTCTCGCAGTCCCCTTACCCTTGTTCTTTTTTCAAATCGACATCAACAATATGCTATAGGTAACCTAGCAATTTCTTACTAAACGCTTTCATGAATAAAAACTTATATGATATCCAGAACAGAATTAGATTCATCCAGTATGTTATATCTATACATCAGACTTCACCGGAAAAATTTACGACTCATTGTTTGGTACTTTGAAATTTTCGTCAGTTCATCCATCGTGTTGCTGGTGACTGTATATCAGTTTCGTTTTCTCCAGAACTTTACCTACTTTGATCTCCACAGTGTACTGATTTCATTACCATCCACATAATATCTCCCTCAAAATCTATTACATAAGTTATTATTTAGTCATTGAATTCTATTTACTTTTAACATTTCAAAAAATATGAACTTAAATGTTCATCATGTTACAGTATCTAATTGTTACTTTGTTAACGGTACGGGATCGTGGATACACACTGCAGAGGAGTCCCACAATAGGACGAAAAGACAGTCCAGTGTTTCCAGGTTCTCCATGGTGGTCTAGCTTCCATTCACTCATGATCTCAACTAATAAAATTACTATAATACTCACAAAACTCCTTCTCATACTAATCAACATATGCTCATTAGTGACTGGCTTCAAGAGCTATCTCCTGGAGTTCTAGTGAGAAACAGTGACCAGTGGAGTTCAACCGGGTCTATTGTGAGATATTAAATGACTGATGACAATGGTGGATGTATCGCTCAATTTCGTGGATTAGTTGAAGTTAGACATTAACACCGTTGGATCCCGACAGGCTGAGTGGTCTAGAGGTTAAGCGTTAGCGCGCGAGACTGATAGGTGCTGGGTTCGAATTTCGCGAGGTGGGATAGTGAATGCGCACTACTGAAGAGTCCCACACCAGGACGGAACGGCTGTTCAGTGCATCTAGATTTTCCATCGTGGTTTAGCTTCAATTAACTCATGATTTCAACGAATAAATGGTAATTGTTTATTTCATGAATTAAATAGCAGAAGTGAACAGGCTGAAATCATGAAGAGTATGATGAATTTGGAAATTATAATTAATAAAAATTTACATTATTCCTATCTATTAAAATTGAAATATCTCATTCGTTGAATATTACATCTTTCAACATGATATATGCTGATTTTACTAAATAGGTTAGATTATGCAAAAGTGATCAACTGCAAACTGAAAATCTTGACTAGATTTGTTTAATTAGGGCTTAAAGAAATGAGACTATTATCCCGAGATTTTCCACCATCTATGAATGGAAATAAAATGATTTAATCAAATAAGAATTGGTGCTATGGGTAGAAGTATCATCAAAACTTTATAAGTAGTGATTGAAATTCTAAGTATCTTGTACGAAAAACGGAAGCTCGGGCTTACAAATATTCCAATAACGTTCATTTCTATCTCCAATTAATTACTTTAGGTCTGATAAGTAACTATCAGTTACAGTATATTAATTGAATATATTTTCGCATCAATGATAGTGTTATTTGGTCATAAATGGTTGATGACTATTAGTAACAATTCCTCAACCCAAGTTCCCCACTAGTTAATTCTCACTAACGAGGGGTATCTGCGATTTTGAGTAATCTACGGTTTGAGTTACTTAAACTAACATCCACTGTGGTGTGGTCCTCATATTTTACTAAGACGTTCTGTAATTTGTGTTTTTAAATACATCCGATTGTCCCTATCTGCGTTCTCATTCACGACACCACGGTGATCAATCTTCATTTGCACCGTTGACTAATCATTTGGCAACTTAAAAGTATCTCATAGTTTTGTTTGAAGATTTTGTACATAAATAATATCTTTAATTTTCCAGAACAAAAGCTCGGAATCCCCCTATATTTTATCTATTTTCATGGTTTATATTCTTGCTACTAACTAAAACATCACGTATATGTCATAGTGACCTTGCTGTTCCCAAATTGATTGATAAATTTCATAAAATGTTAATTTGCTTTCTCAATATTTTGTCTTGCAGAGAAATAGTAGAGAATCTCTTCAACAAGACTTGTCTACTATTTTCTCTCTTACTGAATGCATTGATATAAATACGATTGGAGAGTTATCACAGAGAAGGAGAAGAAGAAGAAGAAGAAGAGGCATAGATCATAAATCAATATTTTTTATAATTGTGCCCAATTGTCAGCCTACTACTTATTTCCATATTCAATCAGTTGACCATTGATTCTATCTTCTAAATTCTTGCATCGTTTCTATGAGTAAATGATCACTTTAACCATTTCATTTGTTTCAGTATGTTATCGAATAAACTGGCCATTGTCACACACTGTTCTTTAACTTTTCCAGATCTCTTATTGTATTATTAATTAAAATACCAGAATTATCCAAAACTATTGCAAAACGTTATCATGGTATACAATTGTTAATAATGAAATGGTTGTATCAAGTTACTAATAAATCAAATGGATTGGTTAGTAAAAATATCAGCATGGAAACTACACAAACAATACTGGATAAGAATGCAGCTTGTAGACAATCGTTAAAACAACAAATTAATCTAATCAATGAATCGCAAATTCCTACAACGAAAGAAGAAAAGCCAGAAATGATAATCAATAGAAAGAAAACACTTGAAAATAAGAATATGAATGTAAAACAAGCAGCGATTATTATCCAGTCAAATTGGAGAGGTTACTCTGATAGAATGAAAATAAAACGTATGAATGAAAGCATTGGAATTTTACAGGTAGTAATATTTATACTTTTATTTATTTATTGCGATAATCATAAGAAATTTAATTTTCGACTTGCGAGGACAGTTCACGAATGAACTCGAGGAAGAGCTAAGAAGTTCAGAAAGAGCCAAAGATATTCCATCCAATCATCTTTTAGAAGAATATTACAGAATCCCTACGTGTAGCTCTCCTATTAGATAAATGCTGATAACCCCTTGTATGCAGATTGGAGGACTATAATGATGATTTCGTTATTACTAAAAACTATAAATATCTGACAGTTTTGTACTATAGATGACACTGTTTGGAATAGCATTCCTTTCACTTGTGTTTTGTTTTCTCATTTGCGACTTATAGAGGGTTCTAGCGTTCGAGTGCTCAAGTTATACGTGGTATAATAAGAAACTCAGCTTTTAAATATAACACGACTTTTATTCATTCTCAAATTGGGATATGTGCTATTTTGCTATTTGATTTTAATAATGATGTATCGAGTAAAGTCACGATTGGTTGGTGAGTTAAGATAGGTATAACCTTACAAGTTGTATACATACTTGTTCATGAATTCACAATTCATCCATCCTTTAATGCTTAATATACGTACAATATTAGGGACTTTTGGACAGTTTTCAGTTTATTTCATGGATAAGTGCCATATATTTAGCGTATTATTTTCATTGAGAATTTTATTTCAAACTCTAACTTTCTTTTTATTTTCTTTATTTATCCGGCTAATTGAGATACGCTGTAAATGGTATGGTCATAAAAGACATAGAAGATTGGATAACCTCATATGCGATAGTTGCCTTACATTTATAGTTATAACGTGTACACAAATTAATAAAATATGATCAACATATCGATTAAGTTCTTAATTATGGACTATTTTTAACCAGCTACGAGTCAATGTACGTAATATCCTTTAGCCTTTGTTCTGTTGATCCTAAAATAATCCTGAATTTTTGAATAGTTGAATTCATAAGCCAATTGAAGCTAGAATACCATGGAAAACCTGAAAGCACTGAACGGCCGTTTTATCCTGCTATGGGACTCCTCAGCAGTACGTATCCACGATCCCACCTCGCGAGATTCAAATCCATGACCTATCAGTCTCGCACACGAACGCCTAACCTCTAGATCACTGGGCCGGCTGGCATCCAACGGTGTTAATGTCTAACTTCAACTAATCCACAAAGTTGCACCACCGTCCACCATTGTCAGTTGGATGCCGGCTCAGTGGTCTAATGGTTAAGCGCTCGCGCACGAAACTCATAGATCCTGGGTTCGAATCTCACGAGGCGGGATCGTGGATACACACTGTTGAGAAGTCGCACAATAGGGTGAAACAGCCATCCAGTGCTTCCAGGTTTTCCATAGTTGTCTAGTTTCAATTTACTCATGATCTTAACTATTAAAATTATATTTGACAAGTTTACATTGACAATTAACTACATTTTGATAATGAAATTTCATATCAATACTTTAAGTTTAAATTCTTTTATCCTTACACTAAACAAGAATTTTCTCTGAAATCCTTCAACTTATTCTACCATTACACAAGCGACATTTTAGAGAACGTCAATTGAAAAAATTAGAAAATGAGCAACAAATTCAACTTGAAAAAGAATCTCAGATTATGATCACAAAAAATCGTCATAAACGTTATCGTGAGAAGTTAGAAACAGAAATTAAATTATGGTCAAGTTTACCTGGTTGTTTAGTTGAAAATGAATGGAATAAAGAACGTGAATTAGCTGCTATATCTATTCAACGATATTATCGTGGTTACTATGTACGAAAATATTTGAAAAATCAACGAGATTATTTAAAACGTGATAAAGCTGCTAGAATAATTCAATTGAATTTTCGTAAATATTTATCACGTATAGAATGTGCATCGTCTGGAAAAGGTGTATCTAACATAGATTCAACAGAGAATAACTTAATCAATAATAAAAAGTTGGAAATCACTATGAAGAAAGTTCTCAAAGTAAGTATCATTTCAACTACTTAATATATTTTCCATTTATTCATTTATTTATTTCAACATATAGATATTGGTAAAAGAGGGCACCAAATATATATGCGCCACACCATATTTGTGTGTGTGTGGGCTGTGATACTGCCCGGGTGCCCAGACCGAAGCAAGTGATTTTCTTGGGGGGCCACACCCTGAGCCTTTGACCTGAAGGTCTGATCCACAAGGCAGTGGAGCATTGTGAGGAGATGCAGTCCCATGGTAGCCGGTGACTAACGTTTGGTTCATATGCCATTTGTTCCCTCAGGATACTGAAGCCCATGTGCACCATTGATTTGGTTTGGGATTCGGTTAAATCGCCGGACATTCGCGTTTCGTCCTCTCATTTTCGTAAATAACACCCCGCAGTGAGTAGGACTTCCCTGGCAGAGGCTGTATACGCGTGGCCGTATGAGAGCATTTCGAGATGGAGGGCGGGCCGACCCCACTCTCGGCCATACCCCTGGACATTTGGGGGCTTTACGAGTTTAAATTCTAACACATTTTATTAATTATTGTTCGATGCACTGATGCACTGATATGTGACAATTTGAATTAATCTACAAGTTTATTAAATTCTATATTGTTTTTCACTAGTTGACCAGTGACGATTTGCCCTATTAGAAAACAGTTGGAATAGTTTTCAGAGGTATTTAAAAATGGTTCATCATAATATAAATGTAATAACTTTAAATGTTATATTTGGATGTATCGAGTAAGTATGAGAAAATAGAACATCTCTTCCTTTGTTAAGTCATGAACAATGATGTTCAAAAACAGGAATGGACATTTATCCTTTAGTCAAACACTTGATTTCCAGAGTTAAAATAAACTGACTTTTTTTTTCATCCAACTTGTTCTAAGCTACAAGATGTTGATTTGTACACAACACAGGCCTTATTGATCCACTTAAGTAAATCTAATTCAAAGAATTCTTGTACCGTCCTTCACTTTTTTCTTGCTATTTAATGAACTTCATGCATTCAGCTTTACTGATATGAACTTACAGATTATTAAACTAAATGTTTCATTTTTCCAATTCTTATTCTTATGGAAAATCATTTTAAATAAATAATCGATAGATTCATACTTTTATGATTGATGTTTCTATTATTATGCTAATTTCCTAATCAACTCTGCCTGTAACTCTTCTAGGGCTACTGCCGGTTCGAAGCCCTAGCAAAGGAGGAGTGTCGGGCATAAGGTCAGCATCCCCATGCCGTAAAAAACAACCTTGCTAAAAAAACGCAAACCAAAATGGACAAATTAAACCATTTAAATCCTGCCATGGGATTTGAAGGGAGAATTAGGACGTCTCATGGTAAAAGCTGTGATTCTTCGGAAATCGCGAGACCGATTTCTTTTCTAACGACCAGAGCAATAATTAATATAGGTACATTGAATGCTCGGACAATGTGGTTCACCAAGAGGATCAACGAAGAGATACAACTTGGTGGTACTCGGAATAAGTGAAACCCATTGGACCAAAGCTGAATGGAAAAGGACAGATTCGGGAGAGATACTGCTGTGCTCGTGTCACAAAGAAGAAAATTCTGCACACACTCAGGAAGTTATTCTGATGCCATCCAAAGAAGTACGTTAAGCACTTGTAGGATGGGAATCTCATGGATCCAGGGTCATCAAAAAATTCTTCAAAACAAAAAAATGAAGGAATCACAATGAATGTTATCCATTGTTATGCACCCACCAATGATAGCAACGATAACGATAAACATCAATTTTATGAGAGGCTCCAGTCGATTTTAGATAAGTGCTCAGGAAAGAACCAAACAATTCTGATGGGAGATCTAAATGCTAAAGTCGAAATGGACAACAACGGTTATGAAGATATCATGGGCTTAGTGGGAGAAAGGAACGAGAATAGTAACACATTTGCAAATCTATGTGCATTCAACAAAATGGTTATAGGCGGCATGATATTCCCCCGCAAACTCATACACAAGGCTACATGGGTCTCACCGTGTCACACCATAGAAAACCAGATCGATCACATTTGCATCACCAAAATGTTTAGAAGGTCAGCGAAAGACATGAGAACCAACAGAGGAGCTGACATAGCTTCGGATCAACACCTGGTGGTGACATACATTAGATATAAGTAGTAGTATGTGGCAGGAATCGGAAGTAGAATTCTTACTAGCTAAAAAGTAAAACGAGATAAAAAGAAATGAAAGGACGATGGGGCTTGTAAGGGACAACTCAAGGATGATATGCTAATGGTGTTAATAATGTATTGTTTCCTGATTTTACAAATGTAGTGTGTAACTTTGCACAATACAGCCGATTTTCCCTTTCAAATTACGAACCTATTACTCTACCTTTGATTTCACCCGATGAATTTATTGAATAGGCCCATATACTGTCGTTCACAATGTCACAGCACGACTGTAGTCATAACAAGTAATTATGTACATACCCAACAATTGTATCCTGTTACTAAAATATGAATTAATACAATTAGTAGAAAAATTCTAAATAGTAGCCGGTTACAAAGAGAACAATCAACACACTCATACAGAACAGTAGCAGGGACAAAAAATGAATCAATAACAAGAACTAGTCATGCTCACATAACTGGTACAATTTCATGATCGATCGTTACATAAAAATGGAAAAAGTATTAACCGGTGAAGGAATAAATGAATCTTAAGTGGGGGATGCTCAACTCAAATATCATAAGTTAATTTAGCCCTGTAGATAGAAATTATCAATCTCCCCGAAACGACCACCATGTCTTTTGTCAGCATTCTTCGCTGTCAGACCTTGTGAACTACCGTAACCATATCTGTCATGTAAGGGGACATTGTCATTACTAAAACGTGCATAGAATATGCTTGTTGTACTGTAATTTGCACTAAGTTTCCCTTTTGCAACACCGACATCTCTATTACCCCTTTACTACTTCGGCTAACAAGTAGATCATATCTATTTATTAGACATATCAGCCTGTTTCTTAACAAACTCAATAAGATCGCCAAACAGAGGCTCTCAATCTCATTTAATAATCCCGTAAGCTACCTTTAGCCAGTCTTGTTGAACGTGCGTTGGTAATTTGGAAATTATAGTTTAAACAGTTCTGGAAGAGTTTAAACCAGAAACGTAATTCATCTATCCGATAGTCAAACCACTTACTTGCATTACTCTAGATTATCTTTTCAAGTCATCTGATTGGTCCCTTCTTGTATTAGGAAAATTTGACAGGTTGTCAGTAAATGTGCATACTGAGACATGCATTCGACCAAACGGTTCCTCTGGAAGCTTTAGTGTTTGACGATAATCTATCTCCAATTCTATCAAGGTACTATGAAAGATAGCACCTTTTGCTTCTCCATCACAATACTGGATTACATAATTCAATTTAGCTCTAAATCCAACATTTTCATCGTCGATTCACTTTTCGAATTAAATTACAATAATTTACTGGTGTACCATTGAATCTTAAGATTTCTCTCTGTGGTATATAAATAGATTTTTTAGTATTTCATTCTCGCAAATGTTTACTGATTGACCAGAACCTTAACTTCCCTGATGACGTGGTTTTTCCAGTTACACGTAACCAGGCCAATCTAATTCTATCAGGGAGTTGGTCTAAATTGGTAAAGAGTCAAATATTTTGTTGAATAATGTTAAAATTATTAGTCTAGTTTTAATAACCATAAATTAATATTGAAAAATGGGACAAGAGTGAAAAATGTGAATGTTGTGGTTAAATAAAAATGAGGTCATGCAAACGAAACCAAGACATTAAAGGATGGGTAGTGCAGCAGCGAATTGGTCAACACGGCAGCGCCGGGTGAAACAAGTTTTTTGTATACATAAGCTGGGTTTAAGACGACTCGTTGCTTCTGTGTAATATAGAAGTCTGCTGTTATTTGCTACTTGAAAGGTAGTACCAGGTTTTGCTGAATAACCCATGTCTTATTTATGTTTTCTCATGGAATTGCTAGGTTGTTAACGGCCATTCATGATTAGATTCTTTGAGTTAACTGAAAACTCAGTTTTAATTAGATGATCATTATGAAATTTTTTAAATACTCTCTCTTAATCCTTGTAAAGTTATGATGAGACGTTGGTTTGGAAAATTGTTGTGAATTACGTCATTTAAGGTCAGTGTATACTGTTCCATGTGAAAAGATTAACTGACAGGCTACATGATAAGGTGGTGTTTAAATCACTCTTTTTATTAGTTGATTTAACTTTTTAAATAGCAAGTCGAGTTTAATTTTTCTCGAAATCGAAGCTAATTAGTATGATATTATCGTTCATATAAAAAATTCAAGCCAGTTCCAATACTATCTGTTTATGCTTTATTTCTTAGCTAGATGGTTAATTAGGTCTTAAGATATTTTTCGTCATGAACTGATATTTTCCATTAAAGTTTGGGGATTTCCGAGTTGAATAGTATCAGAAAGCTTATATTCACCGAGAAGGTCTACGTGAAAACCGTCTAACATTGAACTATTTAACAGAATTTTACTAAACCGTAATGTTTGATTTCTTAAAATCACTCAGGAACATCAAAAATGGTGTGAAACACATCAGCAAAGTATGAGACCAATCAATCAATTAGAACATGTCCATAAAGAGACTCAAGTCAAAATTGATCAGTATCGTCGTAATTGTCGAGTTAACAGTATTAAAGTAAGATTCACTTGTTCAATATTGTTTTTCTAGCATTTTTATTCACATGAAGTGAAGTTTATCTACTTAAATCGACAAGAATATTTGCAAGTTATGGTGAGATATTAAGTAATAAATGACTATGTACATTATAATACTGAATCGTCAATGTTCTTACATTCATGTTTAGATAGAAAAGCTTAGAATTAGAGTTTATTAGTGTCATTATTCATCTGAAGAACATACTGTTAAAGTTAAGATGATTTATGGATTCCGTCGGAAATTTAAATCCAACATTTTCAAAGGTTATCGTGTTAAACTATTTGATCGACAGTGTAACTATAAAACACAATGTTTTCCACTGGCCAATGACTAATTAGAACCAATTACGTAGGTTACTGAAAAAACAAGTAGAACACTATTCATCTTGTTAAAATACGTAATGAATGTTTCGGTCTGTATAGAAACGAAAGAACCTCTGAGATTGTAGATTAGCAATTTTAATGAACAGCAAATAAATGGAATCAGATCATAGAATAAATAAATAAAATTTCCACTAAGTAATATTATGTTAACAAGACTATGAAACAACCTAAATGTTATTTGGATGCGATTCTCCTCCTCGAAATGCAAAATGTTACTTCAGGGTTGGGTGGCATCGACACCTGAACTAATGATAGGGAGTGAAGTAGTTGAGCGTGTCGACCGCTTCACTTATCTGAGAAGTCTCATCAGCCATTGTGGTCTGGTGTGGGACGAAATCTCAGCACGGATACAGAAGGCTCGACTAGCTTTTGCCAAATTGCGTCATTTATGGCGTAGGCGATATATCCATCTATCAACCAGAGGACGTGTTTACTGCGTACCAGTTCGTTCTGTCCTACTTTATGGCAGTGAAACATGGCCGGTAAGAGTAGAGGATATTCGTAGGTTACTAGTATTGGATCATAGGGGTGGCCAGACCAAAACATGGCACAAATCCATGAAGTCACTGTTAAGTGGACTGAGCCATGTTGGTAGATGTAGACTACCTGGTTGGGGACCGCGAGATGATAACAACCGATGGTTAGAGACCCTGAATGACATGGTTCAAAATCGTTTACAATGGTGCAGGTGCATCCACTTCTTGTGTTCTCCCAAATTCTAATCTCCTGATTCCTCCTTGTCTCTTTTTTCTCTTTCCAAATTTACTTCACTGAATTATACACCTTGAGTAACATCTTCAAACCACAATCTTCCCGTTTACTGCTTATACTCTTATTACCTCTACCACTACGGGATTTGAATCGACAACTACATCTCTGTGTTAATGTGGTATGGCAACTTGAACTGATGTACGTACGTACGTACGTACGAAGTTCTACGTTGTCACTGACTGACTGATTTGGATCTCCTATATAACACTCAGCACCAGAAATCACTTGCATGTCAGATTAAATATGACAAATTTAAAGAAAATATTGTTACATAATCATGTACACTGTCTATACAAATTTAATGATTTTTGACATAATCATCACATATATTACATTGGTGCCACTCTTTAAAATATAACGTTCTGATGAAAAGATTTAAGGGATAACTATATAAAATATTCAATTGATAAATACGATAAATATCTCTAGGAAAATATGCTTTATTTGATTAATTATTGGTATTCACTTCCAGTCATTAAATTACAGATTAAAATTCATTTAGTTCGGTCAAAAATTTAGTGAAATATAATTATTTTTTATTTTTTCAGACTATCCCTTTCCCTAACTTGGTATTGTTTGGCTTGTATCTTCCCATTGAGGTTTAACACTGCAATTGATCAGTCTGTTATTGGCATCTGTGCATACTGTGCGTATGCCTCGATATTGCCTGAATTCACAAGCTATTTGTAAGCAATGATGGATAGTGGCTAGCAGTGGAATGCAGTTTGACGCGCGTTTCGTCCTATTTGGGACTGGTCAGTTGGATGTACCTGCATCTGAGAGAGTTGATGTTCACTGTGTGACTCGAACCCAGTACCATTCGCTTGAAACGCCATCGCGTGATCCACTCAGCTACTGACTTCTCATAGCCACTTGCTTGTGCAATGGGGTGAATTCGAATTCACTTGATATTGTCTTTTACTTGTATCTTCCAATTGTTATTTAGGACTGCAATTGATCAGTCTGTTATTGGCATATGTGCATTCTGTAAGTACTGTCTCGATATTGCCTGAAGTGTTTCATTCTCGGTAATGCTTACTGACTGATCGAAACCTTCACTTTCCTAGTGACGTAACTTTCCCCGTTACACGTAATCTGGATTCCACTGCTAACCATTATCCATCTTCGCTTATTCGTTTCCCTCTTAATTCATTTTGAAACACTCGTTTTTACGAATGCATTTATTTTACTTTTAATTTTTCAGTAATACATAACTAGTGATGTTGACTTCAAATGACTACTTATCTCAACATTTTGACTACTTTTGCGAAATAATCATTCAAACAGTGGTTCATTTATTAAGGCAACTAACTTTTGGATATTGGTTTATATATACCCAGTACAGTATTTACTTGAATAATGAGTTTGATTAAGTTTACTAATCACAATTATCAACAACAACAGTAATGTCCTATCACTTCAATTATTCAATTACAACAGTTTGGATTACGCTACATTATTCTTATTCTTCATCCGCACTTAATCAGTTGGCAATCAATGTACGTAGGTACGGTATGTGCTTTGCACCTCTGAAGTGCAAAGTGCTTCTACAAGACTGGCACGATTCTAATCCTGTACTCACCCTGGATGGTGAGCAGATAGAAGTAGTCGAGTAGTTCGTGTATCTAGGTAGCTGCATAAGTGCTGATTGTGGCGTGAGTGATGAGATCAATGCACGTATAGTGAAAGCCCGAGCGGATTATACCGATTTGGGCCATCTTTGGCACCTTCGTGATGTAAGTCTGGCTGTAAAAGGTCGGATCTACAACGCGTCGGTGAGAGCAGTTCTGCTCTATGCTTATGAAACCTGGCCTCCGAGTTGAAGATGTTAGACGACTCTCTGTGTTTGATCATCGTTGTCTCCGAAGGATGGCTCACATGCAATGGCAACACCATGTTAGTAATGCAGAGGTTCGGCATCGTGTGTTCGGGCACAGAGACGATAATGCAATTGATGTGACAATCTTGAAACATTGACTTCGGTGGCTTGGACATGTTCTCCGAATGTCGTCCCAGAGAATTCCGTGTCACCCATTATTTGCCGTTGCTGAAGCAATCGCGATAAAAATAACTAAAACCGAATCTTTATATTCAAAAAGAGACAGTAATAAACCTATTACTACCCTGATAATTCAATTTTTTAGTCATTAATTTTATTTTGTTAATGTTTAGTAAGTTATATTTCTCTTTCACTACCGAATTCTTAAACCAACCCTTCACCCATACATTTCCACTCACTTGGTTCTCTTTAATTATGTGAACTCTTCACATCCTATTTGATTATTACGTAACCCATCTTACCAGTTTTTTAATTCCATGAATCTTATGTAAACCCTCTATTACCTCTAAACTTACCACATCATTTATCTTATGTGCAGAGACGGATAGTGGCTAGAATTGAAATCCAGGACGCGAGTTTCATCCTATTTGGGACTCGTTAGCCGGATGTACCTGCACCTCAGAGTTGATGTTCACTCTGGGACTCGAATTAAGTACCGTTCGCCTTAAACACCATTGCGCACAGCATACACATATGCCAATAAGGAGCTGATCAATTGCAGTCGTAAACATCAATCAATTGCATGAGATTAATGCATAATTCGATATTTTTTAAATGTGTTTATGCTTTTTAATGTTTATTTTCTTACTTATTTGTATATAAACATTTTTTAGAGTCAAACTAGACAAGTGACATTAACAAGAATGAAGATCGACGCCGATTTACTGTTGAATGAGTTCACTGACGAAGAAAAAGGAGAAAAAGATAAAGATAAACAATTAAAAAATGGAATAAAACTCAAGAAAACAACAGCACTAAATGAAATAGTTGATAAACATATTGAAAATTCTGATATAACTAATGCATTTAGTCAATTCACTTGTCGAGTTCAACCACTGACACGTTTAGCTCAAATGGAACATCATGATAAAATGATAAGAATGAATTTAAACAAATCATGGTGGAATATATTCATGGATGAATGGAGAAAGAAACAAGATGAGTATATACTATCGTATAATAAAAATTGCTCAAATTTGATAGATACCAACGTTACTAATTTAAATGTTGATAATGATGATTTATCATGGTTACCTGATCGATTTATTGAAGAATTGGAGAGTCGGGATATTTTTCAGTGGTGAAATATGCCTTTTTCTTTGAATTATATCTTTTTACTTAGGGTAATGCATACGAAAGTAAACTAGATTGATCAGAATTAATTTTATTACTAAGAAAAAATCATATGGATTTCAGGAACTGAATTCAATATGTTGTACTTTAAATTTTTGTACACCACCCCGGTGATAACAGAACCTGTTACCTGATGTTACATTCCAACAGTGGATTAAAATGTTTCATGATGTTTTCATATAGTCACAACTGATTGCTCACTGGGTGGTGATCAATGTCATGTGTGTCAAGTCCTTATTTAGTGCAGATCGAATGCTATCGACCATGTTGTAATGTGGCCACCAGTCTAGGTGACTCGACACTGAGTGCACTATATATTAAGATTAGATGGTGGTTGAAGGTAGTCGATAGGAAACCCTGGACCCGAGTTTAGTGCTACTTGGCACTCGTCAGCAAGGTGTACCTGTAATCTTGAGGGACCTGGTGCTCCCTGGCGGATTCGATCCAGTGTCACTCAGCTTCACAGTCAGAGACGTTACCACGACTGACCATCTGTAGGACTGAGATTTAATCACAATTGATTGATCACTGGGTGGTGATGGGAAGATACAAGTAAACAATACCAAGTGAAGTTAAACTTCACCCCAATACACAAACAGGTGGCTATCAGGACTCAGTTGCTAAGTGGATAAAGTGATGGCGTTTGAATCGAACGCTACCGGGTTTGAGTCCCAGAGTGAACATCAACTCTGAGGTACAAGTACATCCAACTGATGAGTCCCAAATAGTACGAAATGCGCATCTTAAATTCTACTGCTAACCACTATCCATCTTTGCTTATAAAGCTTGTGACTTGAAGCAATATCAATGCAGTCCTCACAGCATGCACATATGCCAGTAAGAGACTGATCAGTTGCAGTCCTAAATAATAATGGGAAGGTACAAGTAAAAACTCACCATGTGAATATGTTTCAAATAGTTTGTAAAGCCAACTAATAATAATTTGAATCAAAAAGTTACATTATTTTCATATAACTCAGTTAGTTGACAAGTGGTTTTGTCATTGAAAATCTACTCAATTTTCGGTTGGGCATAGATCCCTTGGAAAAAATCTGACTTCACCAACATCAAACTCGCTAGCAGTTTTAAAAACCAATTAGGATTTAATAACTTCTGACAGTTATTAAATCATGAATATTAGATCAGTGAAATGCTTCCGAACAAAGTTTGAAAGCATTGTCAGATAGTTATAAGTAATGTAGAACCTCTTACATATGAGCATAAGTCCACGTTGACATATCATATTACATTGAATTGCAATTATCAAGACAAATGACACACTAGTAATAATAATATTAGTAGTTGTTGTAGTAGAAAAGCATAAGCAATATGATTTAATAAAAAAAATGAATTCGGAAAACTGGAAAGTATAAGATAATCCTAAAGCTTAAGGCCTAGTGGAAGGCAAAGACTTAATACATCTGTACCACTGCGACCGATTTTAAGCTATGTCACCTACGTCTTCAACTACTGTAGCACTCATGTGAGTAACGGTTCATTTGATGATGACAATTTATGGATGAACCTGTTAACAATAAACAATGTAACTGAATATTCGCTACACAATTGTTAATATACTGAATAAGCTGCTTATTGGAATCACAATATGACTATACAAATCTTACTTAGAAGCTAATGTCAGATGCTGATTTTTATGTAAGAAAAGAAAAAAAACATGACTAGCGACTTTTATAATAATTTTGATAACCAATCCATTGCTGGTTCCCATCCGGTTATCTTCAATTCATACTTCTCAATTTTCTGCTATCAGGAATTCCACCTCCGATTGCAGCAACGTACTACTTTTATTAAGTAAACGCAAGTAATATAAACCAACGTAATAGTAATAGTAGTAGTAGTAGTAGTATTTCGCTATAGTTTCTGCTTAATTCTATTACGTTCCTCTTCGTTATTCTCTATTGATTTGTATATTTTCAATGATTGTCGTCCAATATTATCATTTGTTCTCTAAAATCCCATTTGCGCAAATTCTTAACATGACATCGGTATCCCATTCGATTCTATTATACCTAACTAATTTAAATTGGATTTTATACATATCAAACAATCCAAAAAAGTAGACAGATTAGTAATTCAGACTACTCATATTGTATTAATGATGAGTAAACTGTCAAATATAGGTGAATAATTGAATAAGGTAGGGAAATTTCAAGGCTAGTCAATGGAGATTTTTTAAGCAGAGGTTGATGGTGGATAGCAGTGGAATCCTGGACGTGCATTTCGTCCTATTTTGACTCGTCAGCTGGATGTACTTGAATCCCAGATTTGATGTTCATTTCACCACTCGGACCCAGTACCGCGCCATTCACTTATCTACTGAGTTTAGATACGAAGAATTATTTTATGTTGTTTACTGCGCAATTACCAAATTTTGACTTGTGATGTTCCTACTTTGCTAATTAGCTGTTGATGTATATCTTACCTTCTCCGAAACACCTACTATTCGGTTTTATACCACACATAACCTAATTATGTGTCAGTTGTGATTTTTTTATTTGTAGGACATTGTGATTGTGAAATTGACCCATAATTTAATGAGTTTTTAAGTTACAAAACAATATAATAATAGAGGGTAAATCTGCTAGCTGTTTTTGTGGACGACTTGGTTAATGAGGATAAGAGGAGCTGGGTGGACTAGTAGCCACTAACTACGTTGTAAATGCATTTCCCAACGTTTCTTCATTGGCTAATGTTATAAGTTTATAGATAGATGAATTAACAATTGAATACTTAAGTAAATTACCTTTTTCGATTTAGACAGTTAGGGAGTATTAACATATTGCTACCTTTTAACAAGTTTGTACATTTATGCATTTAATTTTGAGTCACATCTTGAGTATAAGGTCTAATGTTTTACTACCACTCAATGAGTAGAGTAGAATGGAATTCCCAATCATAGTATAGGTATCTTATTACTTGTATATTGAATTCACATGAAATATGACCTCTAAGATTAGCGTAATTTAAAGTTATTAGAAGTTAGTCAGTCACAACATAGAACCTATACGTATGTACATTAGTTCAAGTTTCCATATTCCGTTAGCACTGAGAGATGAGGTTGTTAGGCTAAATCCTAGTATACAAGAGTATGAGTGGTAATAGAAAAAAAGTATGGTTCAAGAAAATATTATTTAGTGAGATAAGAAAATTTAGAAGCCTAAAATTATGGGGACGACAGAGAGTGGATGCACCTGCATCATACAAAGTCTCTAATTATTGTTTACGATAATTACGTGGATCCCAACTAGGTAATCTATACCTATTAAGTTTTTGATTAAGATCATGAACCGATTGATGTTAGACCACCTTTGGAAACCTGGAAGCACTGGACGGCCGTTTCGTCCTATTGTTGGACTCCTCAGCAGTGCGCATCCACGATCCCACTCGCGGTTCATAATCTCAATCAAAAACTTAATAATCTCCACAACCCCTATACTAGTATAACTATTAACTTGGCTAAGTCCAATTTTCATTGACTTCATGAACTGATGCCATATTTATCTTTGACTACACCTAGCTTTCTTCCAGCCTACTCCAACACCACATAACAACATCTGTCGAGATAGGCGGTGCTTAAGCATACGTAACATATGTACCAGCCACCTAAGTTGATGAAGATTTACTAATTCATCGATTAATTTTTCATTTTTATCTAGTAATCGATTCCCAACTCACGCACTGCTTACACAGTGTTTTTAAAGTACACGAGAAATGCTCCATAGACATTTATGATTGAATACTAGTAACCTACGAATATCCCCTAATATTAATGGCCCTGTTTCACACCCATAAATTTGGTAAAAACCAGTCGAGCCTTATGAATGCGTGTCGAGATTTCATCAGACACCGAACCATCAGTGCTGATAAGACAACCTTGACGAATACCACTTGAGATAATCGATTTTGATGACAGTTCGCCATAAACTCTGACTCAACCATTAGTGTTCCAGTAGAGAGTTTGTACAAGGTTTATATACTTCTTTCAGATTTCTCTCAGTGACAGACTGTCACAGAATCTCACAATCAACAGAGTCGAGCATCAGCCCAAAGTCTAGGAATAAAATGACAGTCGGACGTCGAAATATATGCCTCTGTTCCAGAACCTGCTGAAGTGTGAATATTTGGTAATACATTCATATCCAGATCAGCCTAGTTTTCTCAGATTTGTTTTCACCAGTTCTAGTTAGACATCGAAGTATTATTGAAGCTGAGATTCTTGGAATTATATTAGTTGAACTGATTACTCTGTGAGTGTCACAAGGGGATTTTTGTCCCTTCTTATAGATTGCAACAACCAACCATCGAGATCAGTTAGATGAGATTTCGTTCAGTTTCCAGATTTTAGATAAGATCTTGGATAATTTAACTGCCAAAACTGGGCGACAGTCCTAGAAACTCCCAGAAGTTAGTACATCAGACCCTACTGTTCTCCATTGCTCTAGATTACCTATAGCCTTTTCGGCCTTACTGAAAATTGGGGGACTTGTATCAGTCCTCTACATTGACAAATTGGGGTCAAATGAATTGTCATACTTGGACCCTGTGTATTCGTTTTAGAGATGCAACATACATCAACAGCACGAGATTCTCGAGTCCTGGCTTAATAAACCTGTTTTCCTACCTGACACGAGGTGTGAATATTAAAAGTTCCAATATGTAATTTAGAGCATGCTTTCAGGAGTCTAGGAATAACATTTCGTGAACCCAAATCACTAGAATTGGTGGTTAGTGCTGATTAAGAAAAATGAGAAGGGTTAGTTGTGGGTTTAAGAAAATTATTAAGAATTGAGAGTGGGATTCAATCGTCAACAAGACGATCTCGGATGCTGATAGAGATATGAGAGCGGTTATCACTCCCCGGTTGCACGCATTGTGAAAGGATATTTTTTCTCGAGAGATTTGTAAGAGAAGCTGAATTGGTAGTTGTATTAGAGGTCTGAGAGTGCGACCGCAGAGCCCAAGGAACAACTATTTGAGGCCGGTAGCGCACAGTCCTCTTATGGGAAGTTCTTGATGTGTACGCTTCTCACTACCTTGCCATCGGAGCTTAATTTACTGTTTTTAGACTTTCCATTCTCCAACCGACCTGCCTGGCATGAAAGGACCTATAGGAACATGTGTTCCAGTCAATACAGCCCAGTCGATACATTACGATACGGAAGCCCTATCACCACGTCAAGGTGGCAGCTAAGGTCGGGACACTATTAAGTATGGTTCCTGTATCCGTTGTAGATACACTCGGCATAAAAATTTCTTCAAAATCACTTATCGAATGATCAATATTTGCTACATTCAACAAACCATTGAATATGTAATGTCGATTAATATGTCAAGCTCACATAGCTTATTCTATCCTTTGAACAGATCAATCTATTCAATCATCTCAAGCCATATTTTTTATCGTGTCATTTATTCGCTTATCGACCTTCACTGCTTTTATGTAAGGGTATGTGTATATATTTCCTATCTTACTTATCACATGTCTGTAACTTATTTTTGTCTGACTATAAATATCGATTCACGCTTGGTTAAATCGAGTTGGCTCATTCGCCTTCACCATTGCGTGTCATTTCGTTTTGCTTCGCTTTCCGATCAACGATTGTACGGAATATACGAATTCGGAATCCGTTCACGTACTTGACTTATTTAAT